CACGAAGTGGCCTACAGTTGGCTCCGGGCATTCAAAATGTGGCCCGGGAATGGAGTTCTGGAACTCGAAGAGCACGAAGTGGCCTACAGTTGGCTCCGAGCATTCAAAATGTGGCCCGGGAATGGAGTTCTGGGGACTCGAAGAGCACGAAGTGGCCTACAGTTGGCTCCGGGCATTCAAAATGTGGCCCGGGAATGGAGTTCTGGGAAGTCGAAGACCACGAAGTGGCCTACATTTGGCTCCGGGCATTCAGAATGTGGCCCGGGAATGGAGTTCTGGGAGGTCGAAGAGCACGAAGTGTGCGACTGTTGGCTTAAAACGACTTCTGCGGCACCCTGTCCGGCACCCGCCCAGACCCCCCTGTGGAGTCATCTGCTGCTCTCTTTTGAGACCACTAGAAACCTATCAGTCTTCGCTGTTAGGTAAAATACTGAGGTCGACGGTATAGCCACACGCGCAGCACGTAGACAACAGCCAAGATGAAGAGGTAGAAGTTCTGAACGAAACAGAAGCCGAGGCTACTGTGGGGAGACGGCCCACCACCGTTTTTTGCGCTCCTTGGGGGCCTGGTGGTTCGGGTGGCCCTTTGTTGCGTGGTGCTCACTGTTCACTCTGCCGCTCCGACCCCGGTGCAGCTGCCACGGCCGAGCCCAGTCGACGTCGAGGTCCAGCGCATCGCTGAGGACCCGTGCGTCGCACTTGAGGCTGCGGGGAAGGACTCCGGGAAGAGGTGGCAGGTTTGCGGGTCGCGCCGAAGCAGGTCGAGCGCACCCTCGCTGTCGGGCACAAGCTGCTGCTTGGCGAAAGCGTGCCAGGTGCCCGTGAACATCGGCCCCAGTGCGACTTGGAGTCGACGCATCGCCTCGCCGGGTGTCTCCCCGGGGAGGCCCCACTGGATGTTGTTGATTCCTGTTTTGTACAGCTGTTGTCCCGCGTCGGGGTCCTTAGGCTCTGGCCATTGACGCGGGTCGGGCCTCTGGCGCCGCCGAGCATCCTGGGCGCATGTCCTCACCGCACGGGCCTCGTTGTCCTGGGTGGGGGGCTCGCGATATGCCCGCGACACCTCCAGCTGCGCGCCTGGCAAGGTTTTGCGGGGAAGTGCAGGCCGCATGGTTGGCCGCCAGGCTGGGGTCGGGTCGCGTCGGGCGGCCAGGGCAGACGCGGCCCTGCGGCACGTGGGGGGGGGCCCTTTTCGCTGGCGTTCGCCTGCGGGCCTGTGCCCGCCGACGCTCCCAGGTGCGCCCCCTTTGGGCAGAGCAAGACTCTCTCCGGCCTCTGGGGCGCCACTGGTCGTGCCGGGCGCGAGCACACACGGCGGCGCAGCTTCCATAGCCGGGGCGCAAGCTGCTTCGCCAGCAGCGCCCTGGACGCCTGGCGAGGGCGCCTGGGGTTCGCCGCCCATAAGAAGCTCAGTGACGGGGGAAGGGGGGCGAGGTTTCTCCCGACGAGCCAGCGGATGGCTTCGCTGTCCTGCGTCTGGGCGGTTGCTCCGTGGCCCCCCATGCAGGGCACGTGGCTCCCCCAGATCCCAGAGGACTGCTGACGGACTGATTGTGCTAAGGGGGGTACTCCGCGGCTTCCGCGGCCTCCGCCGTCTCCGCCTTGACTTCCCGCTCCTTTCCTCTGGCCTGCTGGCACAGCTGAAGGGGGGGGTCGTTAGTGTGAGCTGTACACTGGTCACTGCAGGCCACCTCCTCTCGATTCCCCCATGGGGCGTCATCGTCTGACCACGATGCGGGGGGTGGTGTCGCGACCTCTGCCTCAGCAGCCTCTCGGTTCCCCTCTGGGACGTCGTCGTCTGTCGACGAAACGGGGGGCGGCACGTTGCCGCTGCTGCTGCTGCCATGCTCCGGTATGTCGCCGTGCGCGGCAGGATCCTCCGGATGGTCGTCCGTCGTCGTCACGGGGCGTTGAGGTGGTCCGTGCTCAGGGCGGCCGTCGGGGCCGGGGCTGGGACTCGAGACGCCACGATTTGCATCTGGCCTAACGGGCCCCATTTCACATCGGGGATTCGGCAATATCGAAGCCGCGCTCCCTTCTGACCTAACGGGCCCCATTTCAGCCGTGGCAGAATCCTCCGGATGGTCGTCAGTCGCCCTGGTCACCACGGCTGGAGCCGCCTCGAAATTCTGAGTTCCTGGCCCCGTGACGGGGGAGGTGAAGGGAGGAGGAGGGGCGCCCTCCAAATCCTGGAAGAGCATGCCGATGACCGCCGCGATGGCCAGACGAAAGTTGGCAATCTTAGCCGCCAGCTTCGACCGCCTCGCCGCGGCGACGCTGGCCGCCAGCACCTTCCAGTCGAAGTCGCCCGCCGAGACATCGGCGCCAGCAGACTGGTCCTGGAACAGCTCGCAAAGCGTACAGTAGGCCACGATTTGCCCCAAGCCTGCCGCGGGGACTTCGGAGATGGCGCTGAGGTTCGCCACCATGGCCAGGCGGCCGTTCGCGATCTCGGCATTCAACCTGCGCTGCCTGACCGTGGCGTCGGCGCTGTAGATGCTCACGCGCCCATGCATGATCTCTGTCTCGCGGCGCCTCTTGAAGGCCGCGGCGCCACCGTCCTTCGCGAAGTCTGCGGGGTCCCAGAAGCCCACTGGCGCCTGCGCGCCCAGCTCGGTCTCGAAGGCGAGCAGCGGGGAGCCCGTGTACAGCGCCCAGTCGCCCCCCGCGATGCCCGAGAGGCCGCCCTGGTAGAACATCCCGATGATCGCCATCATCGCCAGCCTTCCGTTCGCGGTCTCGGCGTTCAGCTCGCGGGACTTGGTCTCGCCGGCCGGCAAGGTGCTGCCGCTGGGCACGCCCAGGACGCTGCCGTTCTCGTAGTCGCCAGGGGCCCTCGACGGGTCGCACAGAAGCCCACCAGCGCCTGCACGCCCAGCTCGCTCTCGAAGGCGCGCAGCGGGGAGTGTACAGCGCTCAGACGCCGCCGTTCTCGTAGTCGCCGGGAGCCCTCGACGGGTCGCACAGAAGCCCACCAGCGCCTGCACGCCCAGCTCGCTCAGCGGGGAGTCCGTGTACAGCGCCCAGTCGCCCCAGGCGCTGCCCGTGAGGCCGCCCTGGAAGAACATCCCGCTGATCGCCATCATGGCCAGGCGGCCGTTCGCGATCTCGGCATTCAGCCTCGAACTCCCCCCCGAGAGACGGGGAGATCTCGCCAGGGAACTTGCCAGCGACCTCGGGCGTGATGTAGCCCATCGTGGCGAGCATGCTCACGCGCCCATGCTTGAACTCTGTCTCGCGGCGCCTCTTGAAGGCCGCGGCGTTGCCGACCTTCATGAAGCCAGCGGGGTCCCAGAAGCCCACTGGCGCCTGCACGCCCAACTCGCTCGCGAGGGCGCGCAGCGGGGATCCAGTGTACAGCGCCACATCGCCCGCGGCGTCGGCGGCCACGGCGGCGGCGGCCGCAGCGTCGGCCGCGACACCGGCGGCAGCGGGAGCGGCAACGCCAACGACCGCAGCGGCCACGGCGGCGGCCGCCGCACCCGCGGCGGCAGCGGCCGCCGCGGCCGGCCCCACGGCGGCGGCGCGCGCCACAGCGCTGGCGGCCGCGGCCGGCTCGGCCGGCCGGCGCCGCTACAGCCGCGGCGGCCGCCCGGCAGCGGCGGCCGCGGCGCGGCGCCGCCGGCGCACGCAGAGGCCAAGGGCCATGCCGGCCGCGGCGGCAGCAGCCGTCCGGGCCGGCCGCGGCGGCGTACGCCGGCCGCCGCAACAGCCGTGGCGTCCGCCTGCGGCGGCGCGGCCGCGGCGGCGGCGCCGCCGGCCGCGCCGAGGCAGACAGGCGGCGGCAGGCCGGCCGGGCCGGCCGCGGCGGCGGCGCGGCAGACGGCGGCGTGCCGTTGCCGCCGCCGCCGCGCCGAGCGCGACGCCATGGCAGAGCGAGCGGGGGCGCGGAGGGGGGCGAGCCCCTCGCGCGCCCCCGCGGGCGGGGAGGCCGAGGACCGAGGGGCGGGTCCCCCGCCACGGCCAGCCAGCCGCTGAGGCCAGTTCGAGCCAGAGCGGCCTTGAGCCAAAGGCTACGGACTGGTGGGGGTACGCGAAGCGTGAAGAATGTATGCTCGCTGCAAAAAGTGCCACTTTGGAAGACAACCGTCTGAGAATCCTCAATCGTGACTGACCACTATTCCAGGAACCTCAACGCCGGGAATCAACCTAACTGTTACGTCCTGACAGTCCATGATCGCGCCGGAACACTGTTCCTGGGCCATCAACCATACGAATCCTTGATACTGCTGCAAATGTGTGAGACGGATGCGCAAGGAGCAAAGGCGAGACCTACATTTCGAAAACGTGGGGCCCTCCATCCTTGAAACTGTTGAGGCTGCAAGCTTGTAACACGAATACGCGCGGCGCTGAGGCGAGAGCCACGTTTTGAGAAGATGCCACCCTCCATCCCTGAAGCAGTTGCAAGTAGCACGAGTATCCGCGGCGCTTGGGCGAGAGCCGAAGTCTGAAACCGTGCCGCAACTATCCTTGAAACCGTCGCCAAATCTCAAGCTTCGGGATCAAAAATGGTAAGGGCACCTCTGGCGAAACGCCTGGCTGGCCCTACCGACATGTCTGGGGGCTCGACGGGGACGCACTGGTCAACAGGAAGGGGGATGGAGGAGGAGTAGGAGGAGGGGGAGAGAAGGGGGGGTGCGGAAGGGGCAATTGGAAAGACCAAAAGGTACCGATAGCGCTACTCTCAGGACCTCTCCCCAGGCGCGTTCTCACCAGAATCTCGAGGCGCGTCCAACGGTGGCGACGAGGGTCTCCCGAGAGAGACCCGAGGCGGGTCAAACGGGCGCAGGGTATGGCGGTGTGCGTAACTCTCTCGTCCTCCTCGGAACGAGGAGGAGGAGCAGAAGGAGCAGGAGGGGGAGAGGAAGAGAGCAGAAGAAGCAGAAGGAGCAGGAGGAGGAGGAGGAGGAGGAGGAGTAGGTGGAGGGGGGGAGGAGGAGAGGGAGGAGGAGGAGGAGGAGGAGGAGGAGGAGGAGGAGGAGGAGGAGGAGGAGGAGGGCCTCCTGCGCCCTGGCCGCCCTCGGCTGCACGAAGGCGGGGGCCAGGAGCTGCGCGCCCAGGCACAGCGCGGCCGCGGCCAGGAGCGCGGCGAGGAGAGGGCTGCGAGTGCGGGCCATCGTCTCGCGGCTGCAGCGGTCGCGGCCGGCCACCCCGAGGGCCGAGGATCGAGGGTCGCTTTCTGGGAGATGTTGGTCGTCCCGGGGCGCCCTGATGCCCACGGCTGGGTCCGCTCCGAAATCCTGGTCAAAACGCACCCAAGGAGAAGTCCAGGCATATCAACATTATCAGTATCGTCATCATCATCATCAGCAGCATCATCATCATCATCATCCTCATCATCATCATCATCATCATCGTCATCATCATCAGCAGCAGCAGCAGCATCATCATCATCAGCATCATCATCGTCATCATCACCACCATCATCACCATGACCATCATCAGCATCATCATCAGCAGCATCATCCTCATCATCAGCAGCAGCATCAGCATCAGCATCACCATCATGATCATCAGCATCACCATTGTCAGCATCATCATAACCTTCACCCTCATCCTCATCCTCATCCTCACCATCATCCTCATCCTCATCCTCATCCTCATCCTCATCCTCATCCTCATCGTCATCCTCATCGTCATCCTCATCACCAATAGCATCATCATCCTCATCACCACCACCACTACCCATCGCCATCACCATTATCATCATCCTCATCATCCTCACCATCCTCATCATCAACATCATCACCAACATCATCCTCTTCTTCTTCATCATCATCATCATCATCACAATCAGCATCATACTCATCATCAGAATCAGTATCAGCATCCTTATCATTATACTCACCATCATGCTCAGCATCCTCCTCATCATCCTCATCCTTCACCATCATCCTCTTCATCCTCACCGCCGCCACCACTTCCACACATCGCCATCATCCTCCTCACCCTGAGCATCACCATCGTCAGCATCATCATCATCATCAACATCCTCATCCTCATCATCATCATCATCATCATCATCATCATCATCATCATCATCATCATCATCATCATTATCATCATCATCATCATCAGCGGCATCATCATCACCATCCGAAACCCCATGCTCATTTGGATAATCATCCTCATCACCACCATCAGCATCGTCCTCACCACCACCACCACAACCCACCGCCATCGCCCTCATAACCCTCAGCATCACCATCATCATTATCAGCATCATCATCATCATCATCATCATCAGCATCAGCATCAGCATCAGCATCATCATCCGTGTCACTAGCATCGACATCGCCATCATCATCATCATCCGCATCATAAGCATCAGCCCCATCCTCCCCCCATCATCCGCATCAGCATCATCAGTATCATCATCACCATCGCCATCGCCATCAACCTCATCGTCAGCATCATCATCATCATCATCATCATCATCATCAGCATCGTAGTCGTCATCATCATCGTGGTCGTTGCCGTCGACGTCGGGGCGGTCGGTCGACCACGGCTCTCTAGGGGCGGGCTGCGGGCCGCGGGCTGGGGCGCTGCCTGGGAACTTGAGCCAACGATGCCTGGCACCACAGGGGAACGCCAGGGGGGAACGAGAGGACGACGGGGGAGAGGAACGAGAGGAACGAGAGGAACGACGGGGAGGAACGAGAGGAGCGAGAGGACGACGATGCGCAGGAGGGGGGGGGGGGGGCGAGAAGCAAGAAACCGACGGGGGGGGGAGATCGGTGTCCCAACCCTCCTGTGTTGGGCTCTCGTTTTGGATGGGGCACTATGGTCTCCCGTCCTCTTTCCTGCCCGCTCCTCCCCTTTCTGCCTCCTGCCCACCCCTCTCCCTGGTTCGTGCCCTTGCTACACGACTAGGTAGCCGCGAAGTGCGCAACGGTTGCCATTTTCGCGGGCCCCTGGGAGGTCCAGCGGAGATCGCGGGCCACGCGAACAAATTTGAGACCTCGCCGTTGCATCGAACTGCGGGCCTCGTCTTCATCGAGCCGCAGACTTCGACCGCATTGGGCTTGCGCAAGCCTCAAGCCACGCGCGCAGGCCTCCCACGCCGAGGTCCCGACATCTACGGACTGCGAAAGTCAGACCATGCATCACAGAGTCATTGTCGACGCCGGGCGCAATGACGAACAGGACCTGGACCGCTTGTGGTTGCACCTCTGCTCGATGCTCTCCAGGGCGTCGACGGTGGA